AATTGTTTAATCTTGGCAATTATTGTCCATTCCTTTCAAATTTCTCAACTCCAAAAATATAAGCCATAATGGAGTAGACACTAAAAAGCCTTTTTATTGGCTATATTTGAGGAGCTGCAACACATTCTGGTTGTTCTATGTTGATTGTAATTCCCAGAATGAGGAGTTGATTTGGACATAAAACAGCACAGCTGCAGAGAAACCTGAAATCTTAACAGTTTCAGCTTCCTACTCACGGCTTCAAAATGAGCCTTCTGACTTACCATCCAAACTCAGATTCCAATGTCCTCTCCCCTTAACCTATCTTCACAACTACTACAAATCTATATCCCTGACATAAGCACGGTCCTCAGCGACTTCTTTCTTGTCACAGCCCATACCCTGCTTCACTTATGACTTAACCCAATATCTATTTCCACTCCAGATTCACCCTTATCACTAGCCCTAGGATGCAGCCTGGCCCCTCTTAATGACTTGGCTGCTATTCTAAAGGGACTTCATGAAAACGGTAGTAAGACAGGGAGAAGTTACAGCATCTTTATCCTCTGCTTTAACTTGCTTCCCCTTCTAGCTTCTGTGTATGTAAATAAAGAAGCTGTACATATCCAGAAATAAGAAAGAAGAAAATCTGGCAACTGTGTCTGCTCATGTCTACCCTGTACCCCCAAAGCAGTCAAACACTTTTGATTAGAGACCAATCCTGGCATACCATCTTCCTGAAGCTGCAATCACCACATTCACCACAGAAGAGACTAAGGGGCTCATGGTAACTGTCTACAAACCTTGGGTCTATGATAGAATGATGGAAAAAACAATTAAACTAATCTCTACATGAGCAATAGATTATGATCACTGTTTTTTAAATAAGAGGTCATCTAAGTCAGGACTTCTTGCCAGTGAGCACCTGCTCTAAACACCTACTTTGCTTGGCCCAAGAGTAAGGCTGACAGTAGGTGTCAGTGGCCAAGATGACCTTTGGTGATGGAATTCAGAATTCAAGCCATGTTATGCTGATTGACTAACCACAAAGTCCTCTGCTTCTTTGGGTATGGTAGAAAGACTACTAGAACTGTCCAGCAAGGAAAGGAAAATGAGATGGGGCCATACGTCTCACAATCTAGTGTATAACAACAGCTATGCAAGTGGATAGCATGGAATTGGCCTCTGTCACATAGTGGCCACCATGAACTCAAGTGATGCAAATGCTCTCACCAGAGAACCCACAGTCTGTGTGACTTTCAAACTTGCCTGCAGCTGTAGGACTAAGCACAAAGAAAAGTGTGGTTAAATCAACACATCTAAGTCCAAATATGTTGCAATGACTCAAATGAGCGATTTGGAATAAAGTATCACCTAGTACTTTTACGTGATTCTTGAAGTCATTTGGTATCTATTGTCTGCTACAAGTTGTTCAGTGCCACAGAACAGCTGCCATAAATTGGACACAGCTCTGAGTACTTTTCTAATACCAGAGTATTGATAGAGCTGATGTGATATGACAGAAAAGGGTGATCAAAAACCATGCAAATATCTGTTTGGATAAATAAATGTTAGACATTTTATTTCCTTGTGAAGGAAATACATCATCTTGTTCAAGAACTACATGACCTAAACGATACACCTAGATAAACTTTAAAGTATATGAAAAGCATACATTAGTACAAAAGGTTACTAGCTATTCAAGAGGTCCTTTTAATAAATTTCAAATAGAATCAAGTACTCTACCCTGCCCTCTCCCAGAAAGAAAAGTCTAGCCTATCTGGTTACAATTTTTAAAAGTATTACCAAAATTCACAAGCCTTGGCCCAAAGAGTTGAAGGACATTACAAAAAAAAAAAAGACATTCGATAATTTATATGCTCTAAATACTATGCTTCTTTTTCTTTGCTTGGGGTGAGGCTTTGTCTTTCATGAAGGGGAGTGCTTTTTGTTTTTAATTTTTAAGTTTTTTGTTTGTTTTTTAGACATAGTTTCAATTTGTAAGACAGACTGGCGTTAAACCTGCCTCGATCTCTGGAATAGTGAGCTTACAAGTGACAATCACTACACCCAGCCCAAACCCCATTTCATTCAGTCGTACAAAATAAGCTACTGATCACTCACTATGTGTGATTGAGAAAGTCTAGAAATGTGGTGCTCTATAATAATCTTCAATGTAGTGATGATAGGCTGTGGGCATGAGCCCCAAATGATAGGGTGGGAGGATGAATTTAAATGAGCAGTAGGCTGCAAAACATATTACCAAGTTCATTCAAGCTGCTACTAAATTATTTGACTTGATTCAATCATTTGTCGCAGCATCATTCAAAATTAAATGTATTTTTAAAATATCTATTAAATGTTTGATCCCATATCTTACTATGTTACAAAGATTATGCTAATGAACACCTGAGATTTGAAAATGACAAATGTGACTTATATATAGGAAATTTGAAAATAACCAAATCTCTTCACTGTGTAAATAAATTTTATTGGTTAAAACAATGAGTAGATCTGATATTATTCATCTCCAAAATTATCTTTGTCATATAAAATACTTGAAAGGAGGGGGAGGGAACTAACAAATACTTGACATCCACTATTTAAAACACTCTCTGAAGTCAACAACTAACAGCGTGGCTGAAATGGCAATCTTGATTTTAACCAGAAGAAAATCCCCACTTCCGCAGGAAAGTAAATTCCCTTCTATCAATTTTCCCAATTAAATTAATTTTTCTAATTCCAACCACAATTCTAATGGCTAATTATAGGATCCCTACAGAGAGGCCTGTGTTTTCAAATGTGATGAGGCAACATAAGGAAATGTCATGACATACGCCTGGCAAGAAGATTTCATTACTGAGTTACAGAGACCTGTGCTCCTCTTTCGAGACGTGCTTATCCATTCTGAACAACTGCAAATTATATACCTAAAACAGCAAGTCGTTTTCTGTGAATGAATTTGGCTCAGGATCCTTCAAATGTAGCGGGAAACAAACCCTGCTAGAAATAAGGAAACGAAGTTCCAACAAAAAAGTTGAAGTAGTCCCAGTTTCAGACGGGAGTGAGGTACCTGGAGCAATCAGACTGCAAAAGCCTTGAGGTTGCCTTTCCCTCTCTCAGCTCTAGGTGGAAAATGACACCTGAGGGGAAGGTATTGGGCTGTTGCTCAACCATAAAGTGCTATCCTCACCTTAAGACCCTCATATATAATCTCCAGCATGTCAAAAATAAATGTCCAGGACCCTTCAGTCGCTTTTCCTTATCATGAAGGTATCTTTGCGAACTCTCACGATTAAGAGAGCGCCGGAAACGTGGAAACTGCACTTCTAGTCTCAGAACTTAGTGTTACAGTTAGTATGTGTGTCCTAAACGACCACCATGTCGTTTGAGTGGGTCCCCATACCTTAAGTTGACACCTCTGACCCTTCCGACAACAGATTTAACCGACCACAAACTTCCGGAGCCTTTAGTCAACTGCTTTGCCTAGTGGGAATAGAAGCAGCTCCACTTAGAAATAAGGATAAAGGCCCTGAACTGAAGAAGACTTTGACGAATTTCCCAAGGGGTGGGCTGGCGCTACCCTAGAATCTCCTGAAAAAGTAAGCTCTGAGAGAACCTGAAGAGAAGAGAAAGGGGGATGGGGAAAGCCTGGGAGGCAAAGAACCCTAGGGTTCAGGGAAGAATTAAACTCCCCCCTCCCGCCCTCCCATCAACAAGAGCTGGAGTTCTCCCCACTCCCAGGTGCTGAAAATCCACCTCAACAGCAGTGAGTCTTTGCCTTTGAGGGTGCATGTGGTCCTTAGTACCTAGCCCACCCCAGCGCCTACTGTGACTCTCCAGACACTTGCATCTGAGCTTAGGGCTCGCCCACACCTCCTCCCTGTGCCTGTTTCTGTGCCCTAGTCCTCAAGGCTGCTTCCTCCAGTTTGCTGGGTCCTCAGCAAGGAGACCATTACTAGGAGCTGGTATAGCGGAGGACACCCCTTCCTTTTCTTGAGTTCGTCCCAGCCTTAGCCTACTCTGCTGCACGTCCCCATCCTGCCTGCGGGAGGCCCCAGGCCGAAAAGTACACTCTAGGGGACATGGGACCAGAGGCGCCTTGGGCCAAGTAGTTGTATCCCTAGCAGCTGAGAAAAGGGACTGTGCCTTCCTGCAGAGGCCCACTACCACCAGGCACTAGTGGCAAGGGGACAAGAGCCTTTGTTCTCCCGGGGCTTGGCAAGGCTGCGCTACTGAGGCGCAACGCGGGCGGCGCCAGGGTATCCAGATTGCTCACTTTTGCACGCGGCATGTCAAAAGGTGCACATTCCTTTTCTGCTTTCTCCTTTGAATGGGATGGGTAGGAAGTTGGGGAGTAAGGGGTGTGAGGTGAAAAGAAGCATGGGGGAGGGGTTCTGCATATGGGCCAGGCTCTTTGTTTGCATTGGGGGAAGGGAGAGGGGGGTTGAACATGGGTCTGAGCTTGGACCTTGAGAGTGGGACAAATTCCTGAGTATGTCACCATGTTGCACCCGCGCAGCACACATATGCACACACACTCTCTGGAGTGTCTACACACACACACACACACACACACACACACACACTTAGACACACACACTCAGATATACACACACGCACAGACAGACATACACAGACACACCGACACACACACACACACACACGCACACACACACGCACACATACAGGCAGGCATTCAGTATGTAGCAGGCAGCACGGTTCCTGGCGCTCCAGGCTGCAGCAGCTTCCTCTACCCGCAGCGCCGCCACCATGCGTTCAGAGTGGCAGTGGAGGAGATTTGATGCACTCGAGGGGCCACAATTCCGCTAAGAAGGAGGGAAAGTGTTGCAAACCCACACTCTCTCAGAGGCACTGACCTCCTGGGTTTTTGTCCCGGGTCGCAGAGGTCATGGGCAGCTTAGGGTCTGGCAGGGAGACTAGGAGCCACCGGGCGGCGCGCACACAAGGGGGGCGAGGGCAACCGAGCAAAGGAAGGGAGGACTGGCCAGTGGGCTTACCCTTAGAAGCATCTTTCTCCTCTTTGGGCTTGGTCACCTTTCCACTCATAGATCCCAGCTTGCTTGACAAGGTTCGTCCAGAAGAAGGAAGTCCTCGCCGAGCGGGCTGGACTTGGGAGAGCGCTTAGGGCGGCAAGTCGCGACCGCGAGCTCTCAGTGTGGCTCCGGGCAGAATCCGCTCTTCCCCACTGCTGTCGCTGCTGCCGCCTGCGAGAGAGTGGGGAGGAAAAGAGAGGGGTGAAGGAGGAGCCGCCGCCCGAGCCCGAGCGACTGGCCGCGGGAGGAGCCGCTCGCCGCGCTCCAGAAGTGCAGAGACAAAGCGGTGCGGCCGCTGCTTCAGCGCCCCACCGCTCCTGCCAGTCCGCGGACAGCTGCGCTCTGCTAGCTTGGGGCACCCGGGAGGCGCGCCCGGGACTCCCCGGCTTCGCCGCTGGCCTGCGCGGGCTCCGTGCGGGTCGCTCGCTCCGCGGGCACTGGCCACGCAGGGAGTTGCCTGGGTGGGCTGCCCAAGCTCTGACGGGCTGCTTTTCCCCGCCTCTCCCAATCTGCTGCGGGCCGCCAACTAAATCAAAATAAAACCCCCGAGGAAGGTTTAAAAAAAAATCAAAACAAAGACGAAAATATTCACTTAAAATTAACGAGTCTCCCCGAAAGGGAAATGTTTGAACATGTGATGAGCAACATGTGAGCCTGTTACACCGCAGAGCCGCTCAGCTTCTCACCTGCGGGGATTCGGAAAGGGAGGATCGCCTCTCTCTAATCCATTTTCAGGTTCCTGTCTTTTGGCTAAAAGAGGGGCTCCAGTTGCTGGCTGGCAGATAAGCGGGAACCGACGACCCTTACCTGTTCTCTCTCTACACCCACACCCCCTTGGAGCTCGCCTGCTCCCTCGCTGCCGCTCTCCCGGCAAAGAACTCTCCGATCCCAGAGAGCCACAAATCAGCACTGGGGTGCATTCTATATAAACGACAAGGTGTGGGCACGCGGGGGGAGGGAGGGGGCGGCGAGGGCGGGGCCCCACAAAGCCGCCTGCCGGCTGTAGTAAAAGCAGAGCTCGGCAGGGGCGCGCCAACGTCAGCTGCCGCCTAGCAAAAGCCTGGCAGCCCAAAGGAGTCCGGCGAGCAAGCGCCCGTTTTAGCGGTGTGTCCCCTTTCCGTTTGGACAGGCAGGGCTCTCCTGTACTACCACAGGGGGTTCTCCCAAGCCAGGAGTCCCCAGCCTCCACTCTTGTTACACCCTAGACTTCTAGTGCCTGCCTTCCTGGTTGCGCTGGTCACTACCTACACTTTGTGGACTCCGCTGTTGGCAACTGCGCTGAAATCTCAAGTCTTGGAGTCTGTGGTTCTTCACCTCTGGCCAGCTGTCCAAGTTGAGACAGACCGATTCTCCTAGAAAGGAGAGAAGGGCGCTGTGATCTGGGTATCTATAGGGCAGAGAGTGAAACTGACCTGGTGATTGCTTCCCACTCCCACCCCCCACACGCTAGCCCCTCCTCCTAGGGCTGTCTGCCCTTGTTGGCAAACTGGCCGCACAGTCCCCACTGCTCAGGTTATCCAACCTCATGTGGAGTGAGGTGAGACTAGCCTCTAGAGCTGCAGAAGTATAACTAGGTTCAGCTTGTCTCCCGATTATGCTTGTGACAACCCATGGAAGATCCCTGAGAGTTAGAACCGCAAGAAAACCTGCTCAAAAAACAGAAATCGTTGTACATGGGCCATAAGGGAAAGGAGTCGGTGAATAGGAAAGCAGAAATATGGACGTCAGCAATCAGTTCCTGACCATTAGGAAACCTTTCCCCCTACTCTCCTTTCTGTTAGTGGGGACAAATGTGTGCTGTTAGGGAGTGGGATGACTGTTAATAGCATGATTTAGTCCACAGAGCCGTCAGCCCGTTCATCCAGCCATAAACTTCATCCTGGCCATGGAGATGTGCTAGAGAGTCCTAAGCAGAAAAGCCATTCACCTCATCCCACTCCACTCCCACCCTCTCCTTAATTTGGTTTTGTTTAATGATATTAAACCAGGCGAAGAAATCATATAGATGGATTAGTCCTACTGAATCCCAGGCAGTAACTCAATTATAAGAGCCTGCTGTGGCTTTCAAGACCGGGAGTGTGGGCTGCCCCTGCTGCCAGCCAGGGTCTAAAGGTCAGTAATCCTCTAAACTCAATTTGCAGCCTCCATGTTCAGTCTGGAAGGAACTGTAGGCCTGGTTTTCTTGCAAATAATATCTAATAATCTAGAGCTTGATGACACAACGTAATTATCCAATCCAAGGTTAGACCATTAATTATTATCAGTATTCTGATAAACAAGGAATTTCTCTATAGAAGACAGAAATTTAAAAGAGTTGGAACTTTATGTGTTTTTAGAGGGGAAAAAAAAACAAGTTCCTATATGACCTATGCCAAATAATTTTTATCATGCATTTAGAGCCTAACCTGTGCCAAGTCGTAGTGCTAAATCGTTAAATCAATATCTTATCATCCCAACATCCCTAGTAAGTTTTGGTATTATTATTTCCATTTTACAAATGAGGAAACAAGGCCTTGGAGTGATTAAGTACAGTGTTTTAAAAAATCAGGTCTCACTATGGAGCTCAGGTTGGCCTTGAACTCCCTGATGCTAAGGTTACTGACATAAACAACCAATTCCAACTAGCTCACACTAAGCCATTTTCAAAAAGGTCACACAAATGGTTATTGGTAGAACCTGGGTAGGAATCCAAATTGTTTATCTCTAACACCAGGATTATTCTTTATCATGCCATCTTACAGCACATCCCTTAAAAGGGGAGAAGCACTTTAACTGGACATATCTTTAAATCACAAACTTCTAAGTTTTTCTCAACATCCCTAAATATACATACCTACACACACACACACACACACACACACACACACACACACATATATATATATATATATATATAAAACACACAAGCACGCATGCACACACACACAGTCCTCCTGTGTACCTATACAATTTGCTTCGTCTATATACCCTGGTAAACTCCACATGATGATTTTAGAGGGTTCTCTGTCTTTGCAGATAAGCTCTGCCCCCAGCATTATAATCAGCAGGAATAACATCCAGTTGGAAGCCAGATATCACTCTATTCCTTAAGGGACAATAAAACAGTAAACACGGGGTGAAACCTAGCTTATCTGATAACCCTGAGCTGAGGAAGAGCAGTGTCTGCTTGGGAGAATGAATGAAAGGTGCCTGTCCACGGACACAAGTAAGTAAAAATGTGTTCCCTCCCTGTAAGTCATCCTGCAAAGGAAAGAATCAGAACACAAAGATAATAGACAACCCATGCAAAAACACTAGTTATGTGTACCCATGTTGAAACAAATCAATGATCATCATAAGAACTTTAGTGCCAGATACTAGGAATTATGACTCTTCGAGTGCACAGACAAGCAATGTTATCTAAATAAACTTCCTGAAGACTCTGCCAGGGAGGTTATACCCAGGCTCTTTTGTAGGAATTGGGTCTGCCCCTTCTTTTAAGCCCTCTGACATGTTTAATATGAGAATGTTGTTTGCACTGGTTCTGATGAAGGCATACTCCAGCCTCCAGTGTCCAACTCCCAAGATACTTGGTATGCAAAATGACCCGCTGAAAGAGGCTCTCGTATGTGTGCTAGGATGAGCAGAAAGTGGTCCCCACCACCACCAAGAGATTTAATCTGTCTTATTTTGTTTTGAGACAAGGTATCATTGTGAGTCACAGGCTGGCCCCAAATTCACAATCCTGTTATGACTCCATCCTAAGTACTGAGAACCCTCATAGGGTTTCTAATGCATTGAACCTACAGCATATGCTGAAGTGATGGTTTGTTACTTTTAGACTAAATTGGAAATTATCAGACAGAGCTGCCTGGCCCACCTGGTGGCCTATTTCACATGCATTCTGCGGAAAGCCCACCATTGTGTAGGAAGCATTCCCACCCTGACAAAAGCATCCTGATGTTTTTACCACCAGGTTCTCTGGCCAATGGTTTATGTTAATCTCCCTGACAACAGCCCACATTGCTGTCAAATCAAGCAAGAACTGCATCTTAGATAACCAGTCCAAATTATCAGATGACATCAGCCTCCTCTGACATCTGGCTGCATTCTCGTGAGAGTCCCCTTTCAATGGAGAAATAGCCAATGGGATCCTGTTCAAATTCCAGGCCCAAAGAACTGTGTTCAAAATTAAGTAGTTAAGTAGTTTTATTGTCATTATTTTCACCACTTCAGTGCTTTAGGTGTAGTCTGAGTATCCCCCAAGTGTCAATTATAACTAAATCCTTGGTCTTTAGGGTGATATCGTTAAATGGTGAAGAGCCATTGAGAAGGAGGATATTGTAGATACATGTGTGACCCACTACGAAAGGGGTTGTGAGACAGCAATGTCTGCTTATCTGACTTTCTATTCACCCAGGAAGGGCTTCTATATGTGCAATACAGCATACACCTCTCGTTTCCCCTACAGCACGCATGATGTAACTGCTTGTCTTGATACACACTCCTTCCACTGTCATTCCCTCTCAGCCATGGAACACCTTTCCAGAGGTTCTGCATCTTGTTGCTTTAAACTTGCAATTTTCCAAAACTGAGCTCAATAATCCTTTTGGCTTTATAAAGTTAGATGCCTCAGGCATTTCTTTGTAGTAATGCATATCTGATTAATATAAATGCTAAGTTTTAGGGTAATACTCCATGTGGTATTAGTAATTGTAATAGAAACACACAAGTTCTTGCACACCTGTGAGTTCATGTCATTTCACAATACACAGGTAATGTCTGTTGACTCCAAGATATCCTGTGCTTTTAGCAATAGAATGTGATAGAAGTTATGCTGTGTCAGTTCCTGGTAAAGCTTTTAGAACATCTGGAAGAATTTTCTTTTGGGGAAAATCCAGACAGCATGTAAGACATTGGACATCCTGAATCCATGATGTGAAGCCCAATGTCACAATTACTTTTTATCAACATGACACAAATGTAGACAATACCTAAGAATCTCTACTCAGGAACTGCATTGATCAGATTGGCTTGTGTTCATTTCTGTGGAACATTTTATTGGTTGCCAATTAATGTAGAAGGGCCTATTGCATTTGGTGTCCTCTCTAGGCAGAGGGGATAAACCTTTCTC